TCTGTTATTCTCACTCTTCTACTTTGCGTGCACATTATTTTGCAAGCGCGAAAATGAAAGATGTTATGCAAGAACGATGAATATACGAGATAAATATACATATATTAATGATAAGCAGCTGCGAACTTTCTAGAAGTGTGTGTATATATACACACGCACACTTATAGTGTGTATATACATAAGGGTGGGTAAAAAAAATCGATTATTTTTTTTTTTACAAGTGCCACGGAAAAATGGGTTGCTAAACACCTTAAAAAAATTCTCACCAAATATAAGCTCTTAATCCTCCGCATCGCAGTTTCTTATTTTTTTTCAGTCTAATAGATTAAAATTCATACCTTATTATTTATTGATTGTACAGAAAAATGTTCTAGACAAATTTTGTAGGAAATTTAATGCTTTACAAAAAAGGTATCTTATATATTTTCCGTAAACCTCACCATTTGAATGATATAGAAGATTTAAATTTGATTATTTTAAGACAAAATTCATTTTTGTTTATGAATTTTATAACTCGACAATAACTGACTATTATAAAATGCGCAATACAAATTTTTGTAGGAAATTAAGTGCTCTATAAAAATGGTGCCTTATGTTTTGGCGATTAAATTAAGCGTTCAAAAGATATTAATCATCAAACTTTTATGTGTACTGATTTCTGTCTCTGAATATCTTTATATGAAATATAATATATATATGCAGAGGAGAAAGACTCATTTTTCTTTTGAGAAAAAGCTGGGAAGAGAATAAACAAACGTGACAATATCAATCGATCATAATTAATTAATTAATTCTTTTAACCCTTTTATTATGATCGTCTTTGACGCAGTATGTAATTCGTTTCTAAAAAAAAATATTCATACGAGTGTCATTTAACATTAAATTTTGTTATTATTGCATAGAATACGATCCATATATGGGTCGATAAGTTTTTCGTAAGAAGATTTGCGTGTTCGTTATTTTCCCTCTTTATTTTTTTTTGTTTTCATTCATGGAGTTAAAAAAAATTCCGAAAGAGCAGTGAGAGTATTTGAAAAAGTAGAAATCCTTTAAAAAATTACTCTCCAGTCGAGGAAACGAAACAATGTTATAATTCGCACATCGAGTCATCGATTTTTTAATCTCTTTCCAATCCTATCCGTTTTCCGCGTTTCATCCTTTCATGAATAATAATGTGGTACCTGTAATGAATAAATCCGTGAAATAAAATGTGCTACGCGCTAGGATGGGCTTTAGGGTTGCGTGAAAATATATGAAGATTTTTCTATGATAAGAACTAAAAATGGAAAAAAAATATATGTATTCTAGGATACTCATGCCACGCGTTGCTGTGGTTTTGTTATAAAACATTGATCTAATATAATTCTAAACTATTTAATGTAGTCAAATCAGTATTCACTAATAATTTCTGAGACTTCAAATTAGGTATAAAACAACATTAAATATTTTTAATATATATAATATATAACATATTAATAACAACACACAAAATAATACCATAATTAGAATGGAATACATAAAATAATAATACACGAAAAAATATAAAAAGTAAGGTTATGTCGTATGTAAATTGAAATAATTGAATTTTAATACAGCGCCATTTATTGAAAACTTGCAGTACCTAGAGACCTAGATAACCTTTAAATAATAAATTCTTCAATTAGCAATAAAAAATAAAAATAATCGTTATAAAAACTATCCTATATTTTAAGTTGAAAAAAATTACACAAAATAAAAGAAATTTCATTAGGATCGGTTCAGAGGTTTCGAAGTCCATTGGAAACCAACAATGTGATACTCTGATTTATTTTTATATATATTTTTATATATATACACAGGGTAATATACAGTATAAGTGTAAGTTTCCTAGGGTATTTTCCTTAATTATTAATTATTACTTATTAATTATTACTTAAGTTTCTAGGGTATGTTTCCTAACATGATGACTAATTAACGAAGAATGTAATACTTCTACCTTAACAGTTAGTCAGTTACTATATTAGTACATGTGTAAATGACATGTAGTATTGTAAATGCATTTGTATTATTATAAACAGTACTTTAAAATAAAACTTATTTTATAAATATGTCACAATCAGTAATCATTAAATTCCACTTTGTATAATACTTTTTTTTAAAGCAATATTTGATGATGTATCGGAATACGAAAATAAATATTAGCCGTTCTATTTAAAAAATTGAAAATTATTCTAATAAAAAATAATAATAAATTATAAAAATATTAATAATGATAAATAATAAATAATAATAAATTATAATAATAAAAAACAGATTAAAACACTATATGTAATTTTAGATATCTTTGAATTTTGGTTTGAAAAATTTTATCGTACAACGAATAACTTAGGAGTTATTTGAAGGATGTCAGGTGATTTACCTTGTATATATATGTATATAAAAATAGAAAAATAATTGAAATAAAAAAGGAACACAAAAATTGAAAAGTAAAAGATAAAAATAGTAGAAGTGAATTTTATTCAAGGTTCGTTTAGGCGAGTTGCGTTAATGAACAAACGAACGAACGAACGAACGAACGAACGAATGAACGAATGGGAATGCGTCGAATCCATTTGAGAATCTCTCGTAAGGTAAGTTTTAAGCTTACTACTACTACTGCTACTACTATTACTACTACGACTACTATTGGTGGTGATGTAGGAGAAGAGATCTTGTTCTGCCAGCATTTCGCGTTTCAATTAGAGTTATATCTCGATGCTTGCGTATATTCTAGTAGCTTCAACACGCACCAATGTAGAAGGTACGTTCCTTTCCTAAAAAATTTTCACATCTTCGCTAACTCGTCAAAAATACAATTTCGCTTAGTACGCGAGTTTCATTTTTTTTTCGATTACAGCTTCACTACAAAATTGTTCTAATTTTTTATATCAAAGAAACAATGAGATATTATTGACGAAAAAAGAAAGAAAAGATATCGAACACCTCGTTATTTTTTCATCATGAAATTTTCGTTAATTTTTGTTGGAAGACGAGGATGATGATATATGCGATTTTTGAAAAAGAAAAGAAAATATAAAACAAAAAAATCGAAAGAAGAAAGAAGGTAGAAAGAAAACAATAAAGAAAGGAAGAGTGGAGGCCTGGTGGTGAAAAGAAAAGACTGATATACGCGTGGCTGAAGGGAAAGAAGTGAAAAAAGGGATAAGGGTGAGAATATCAGAGAATACCTAGAGCGAAGTAAAGCAGAGCAGAACAGAGTAGAGCAGCTCAAAAAAAAAGGAAGAAAGAAATACAGAAAGCAAGAAAGGAAAAAAGGAAGAAAAAAGGAAGGAAGAGGGGGTGAAAAAGAGACTGAAATACGCGTGGTTGAAGTAAAGAAGTGAAAAAAGGGATAAGGGTGAGAATATCAGAGAATATCCTGAGAAAAGCAAAGCAAAACAGAGCAGAGCAGCCAAAGAAAGAGAGAAAGCAAGCAAGAAAGTAAGAAAGCAAGAAAGGAAGGAAGGGAAAGGGGAATGGTGAAAAGAAAAGACTTATATACGCGTGGTTGAAGTAAAGAAGTGATAAAAGAGATAATTGTTATTATTAATTGTCATTAGGAACTCGAAAGTTCATTACCGCAAATACAAAATCCCGCCAATGTTTCCGTCCCTGAATGCGATCCCTCCATTCGCGGTCTTCGTAGCCTATTTCCTTAAGAGGAAAAAGGGATAAGGGTGAGAATATTATAGAATATCAGAGAATGTCAGAGAATATTCAGATTAAAGCAAAGCAAAGCAGAGCAACCGAAGAAAGGAAAAAATCAAGAAAGCAAGAAAGGAAGGAAGGAAAAGGGGGATGGTGAAAAGAAAAGACTGATAGACGCGTTGTTGAAGGGAAGAAGTGAAAAAAAGGACAAAGATGAGAGAATATCTGAGAATATCAGAAAATACTTAGAGTAAAGCAAATCGGACCAGACCTTACCAGAGGAGACCAGTGTAGAGCAAAGCAGTGCAAAGCAGAGCAGACTAAAGCAGAGTAAAGCAGAGTAAAGCAGAACTGAACAGAACAGAGAATAGTGTAGAATAGAGTAGAATAGAGTAGAGAAGTAGAGTAATGTAGAGAGAAGAGTAGAAGGAAAGAGAAAAGGGGCTGTAGAAGAGGAGAAAGAGAAAGAGTAGGAGGAGGAAGAGGAGGAGGAAGGAGCTGAGGGTGTCGCGGGGGGAAAGGGGGTGGTGGTGTATCCGAGGGGGAAGCTTAAGCATAGGGATGCTGTGGGCAGAGAGCTGTTTCAGTCGCGCGACGGCTCTCGCCCCGGCCAGTCGATCGAGCTCTTGCACAAAAGGAAGAGAGAGAGAGAGATACACGTTTCTCTCTATTCTCTCCTCTTTCTCTTTTCTCTTTCTCATTCTCATTTATTCTTACTCTATTTCTCTCTTTTTCTCTCTCTCTCTTTTTTTGATTTTTCTTCTTCTACTTCTACTTCGAATACTGTCATATTTCTATAATTTACCGCTTTTTTTTTATTTATTTTTATCATTATTAATATCCTCCTCTCATCGCACGGTTAGGATCGTTCATTTTGTTATATTTTATATATCCGTAAAAAAAAAATCATTTGTACGTTAGTACGAAGTTCTCATTAATTGCGTACCGTGACGTAAACGTTGATTCGATGAAAATATTTGGTTAGTTAACTCGTTGCCGATTTGTTGTGCATCGTTGAACTTTCAATACGAAATCTTCTCGTGTATATACGACGTTTTAGGGGGGAGAGAGAGGGGTTTGGGGTTGTTTGTGAAAAATCTGGTGTTTTCTTTTTTTCTCCTTTTTTTTTTCTTTAACTTTCGGTGCATGTGGTATTATTTTTGTTAACGCGGAACGCTTGATGTTTGGTGGATAAGAAGAAAAAGAAGAAGAGGACGAGGAAGAAGAAGAAGAAGAAGAAAAAGAAGAAGAAGAAGAAGAAGAAGAAGAAGAAGAAGAAGAAGAAGAAGAAGAAGAAGAAGAAGAAGAGGAAGAAGAAGAAGAAGAAAAAGAAGAAGAAGAAGAAGAAGAAGAAGAAAAAGATCGAATGTACACGAAAGAGTGGGAAGGAGAAAAGAGGAAGATATCCTACTACAACAACCACCTGTGTTATTAGGACAAATTCTGACGCGCCAAGGATGTTGCCCGTGATCAGGGTTGCTACGGATGATGTAGTTTACCTACGTCTCTGAGATCCACCTGTTTTTTTCTTTCTTTCTGGATTTAAAGATACCAAGGATTACGGATTTACGCGTACGTATTTTTTACCCATTATTCGATCTTTTCTTTTTGTACGAAATAATTATTATTCGATACGGGAAAAACTAGGGTAAGTTATTTCTCAAGGAAGACACAATAATAATAATAATAATAATAATAATAATAATTTTACATCGTTACATTTTAAGAGTACAAAGTGTGCATTGTCCGATGGTTTATTCGTTTCCTTTATTTTTTTGCTCTTTCTTTGAATTTTTTTTACACAGAAATTGTATGTCATTTGGTATCTAATTCGATCTGGTGTGTGTGTGTGTTTTTCTTTTTTTCTTTACTCACGTAAAGATCTAGCAAATCTTGGGGGGAGTGGAAAAGGGGAGAGATAAAGAAATTCGAAAAGACAAAAACTAGTGTTGTGTATGAAAAAGCGGTATTTTCGCGGTTAAAAAAGACTCGCGTGGATGGTAAAGAAAGAAAGAAAGAGAGAGAGAGAGAGAAAGAGGGATGAAGGGAAGGAAGGAAGCAAGATGAGGAAGGAAAAGTGACGCGTCACATGGAACGGTTGGTGCTCTGGATTACTGTGCACTCTTCTTCTCCCTCGTTACCTCTCGACAAGCTCGAATCTCGATTGTTKTTTCCCGTCGTCGTCGTTGTGTTGCGGTCGTTGCTCGCTTTTTCTTTTAACACGAGAAACGTTGCTTTCCACCCTTTTCTACCCTTTTCACTCTCACCACCACCTTCTCCGCCTCCTCCTACACCTCAACCAAGTGCAATACCTATTTACTGTTAGCCCTGTCTTTTTTTTTATTTTTACAGTTGAAATCTTAATACGAATCTTTCCAATGAGATCATCCTGATTTTTTGAGTCTATCGTAAAACCAATTATAAATTGATCAATGAGTTTCTTACACGAACAACAATCCCCCCCCTTCCTCCGTACTTACGAAATGTTTTCTTTACGTACTTTCATAGTAATTTTTCTACGGGTAAATTTCAGTTAATATTTGAGCATCTGCGCGTACGCAAGTTTCTTCTAAACCTTGGGTTAGGAGGGAATAGCTCGTGTGTTTTATGGAAAGTTGAAAGTTCTGGCCACGGGCACATCCGTTCAGGAAATTGTTTTGCCATCCGGTCAAATATTTCGCTTCGAAACGTTTCCCCTGGTTTTGTAGGTTGGTCGGTAGATCGGTCTGTTTGTCGAGTATATTTTATTCGCTAAATTCTCTATCTCTCTCTCTTTCTCTCTCTTCTAGTAGCTATGTTGTGTATTTTATCGAGAAACAATCCTATACCTAGGATATATTATACATATATATATTATATTATATTATAGTATAGTAATAATAATATATATGGTAGTACTATTTATACATATATATATTATAATAATAATAATGATGATGATATATATATACGTATAATGCATATATATATTCTCTATCGGTTGGATGCGATATTAGTTTGTAGCAAATCGTTTCTAGGGGTACGAACACAAACACACTTGGTTATACACGTTTATCGATATATATATGCATGTTATATATCTCAAACGATTAACTTATCATCTCGTTAATTTAATTTCCCCGTTAGCTTTATGGTTTCATTAGAAACCGTGATTAATTAGTATAGCACCATACCTGCTCGATATTGTAGGTTTAATTACACGCTCTTGGAATAATATTGGCGTCTCTCTACGGACGTACTAATATGACTCCCCTCTTCCCACCCCTCTCCACCTAACCCCTTTCTTTCCCAAGTCCTTTTCTTCCGTTCGTTGTACCTTTTCGAGTTATCGGGAATTCGATCGTTGAAGCCGATTATGTTTCTACGATTTTCCTAGCTTTCAATCTGTTCGAAATAACTAATTTTCTTCAGTCAGTTCGAAACAATTAGATCGTTGCGTTAATTCTTTAACAATCACACTCACGCTCACACTCACATTCACATTCACATTCACACTCACATTCATACTCATACTCATACTCACACTTACAATTAAACTCACATTCACGATCGTACTCATGCAAATGTGCAAATTTATTAGCAAATGTTAATTCTGATTAATCGATAGTCATGATCGAAAATCCGCATTGAAGTATCGAATATAATCGATCGTGAATGTCCAAGTCGATTTCTCTTCTCGTTAGATCTAACAACCGCGTAACATTAGCAATCCGAGCAGAATTGCAGTTAGAATTCGTTCGGTTAAAACTAGGTCGAGAAACGGTTTGATTGTTTGTTCCGTGCTCGAAGTCGATTTCGAAAGCTGATACAAATATGTATGTTACTGCAAAAGGGGAGAAGAGCAGGTGGTAGTGGTGGTAGAAGTGGAAACGCGCGCGGGATTGAAATTTCTACTTCAAAGTGTCTATCTGTAATATATGTGGCGTTTGTATGATGTACCTATAAATGTATGTATTTATGTGCACGTGTGTATGTGTAAAGGGTCGAATACTATGAATACGTTCTCACGGTTGAATCGATTGTAAGAAAGGAAAGAAAAACTTACAGAGAAATGTAAATAAATTCCATACGAGTTTTATCGGTTTTAAATTAGCGTGGAAAAATAAAAGGGAATAAACGTTCTAGAATTGAAGTTTTCTTCAATAGATAGAAAATCCAGAGAAAGAGAGAAACATGGATGAAAGAGGGTGAAAGAAAGAAGGAAAGGGAAGCGAGGGGATGGGAAGGGAAGAGGTGTAAACATCGATGTTTCACGAGACAACGTTCGCTACTAATCATATTTTCTCAAGCCCCCTTCCCATTACTCTGTGTCCTTGTAGTAATTAAATAACGCAAATTCGTTCTACATCGATACGAATAAAGGAAGACATAGACAAAGGGAGAAATAGATAGAAATAGAGGTATAAAGTGAACAGTGCTTGTAGAATCGGCAACTCGTGCGTGCGCATAATCCGAGTCTACCATTTTTTATTTCTCTTTGGTAATACAAGGTGTTTGAGGGTTGTTTTTATTTTTATTTTTGTAGAAACGTTATTGTGAGCGTATTTTATGCAAAAAACAAATAGGTTAAAAACTGTTAAATAAACATAGATTATTTAAAGTATTATTGAAAAGTTGTAAGAAAAAATTGTAAAGTTGTTTAAATATTATTTAACCATAAAAAAATAATCAATACAAATTTGACACCGTTGTGTAATATGTTGTTTATAATTATCGCAAATTTGTGCGGTTTTTTTATTATTTTTACCACTATTTCTACCACAGTTTTTTGTGCATAACTATTTCTATTGAAAGATATTTTTTCGATACCTTTGCGTTTGAGTGCAAATATCTTTGGAATCATTGTTAACAATTTTATTGCATATTATTTAAATTTGTATTATTTATTTATATTATCATTTAATATTTAATATATTAAATAATAATTATAATAATTATTCTAATATATATTATTATTTTTAATTTATATTATTTAATGAATATTACTAAAACTAATGATAATAATTTTAATTGAAAATTTGAAATAATTTTAATTTATCCAACAGTCTATTTAATACATTTTACCGTAACATAAAGTGTAATTATCTCAATTCTATAAACTTGTTGTTTTAATTTTTCTTAGAAATAAAAATATAGTTGAGTGAGATTAAGTGAACTAACAAATCATTGTTCATAGAAGAATATATACAATAATCTCAAGATAATAAACAATATACTTTTTGAGCAACACATTTAAACAATTTTACAATACTTTTGAATAAAGTTTTAAAACGATTTATGTATTAACATACTATCTTTATATTATTTTTCTTTGTTTAACGTAGAATACGTTAACAATATTTCTTCCACGAGAAAAATCTGGAACATTCTGTAGTTTATTTCTCGATGACACGCGTAAAGTGTATCTGCTATCGGTCATCCGACTATCGATTAAAAGCTTAGGCTGCGTGAACTTTGTCATGGGTTGTGTCGATGAATTCTTGATGGAAGGCAAATTAATGAATGGCAAATCAACAACAGAACCTGAAGAAGAAAACGATTATTAAAGTTCGTCGATTTGATTATTTTTTTGTTGCTGTTGTATCTCAAGTGACACAAAAAAAAACTTATTTGAACGATCCTTTTTGTCTGTTTGTCTCTCTCTCTTTCTCTCGTTCGAACATAAAAATGGAATCTGATCGGAACACGGATATGCACACATTCGATGCTTTATTAATCGATAACTTCTCATGTTTTCCCTCGTTTTAGCAACCCCTATTCGTTCAACGAGTATATAAACCGTACCGAATGATCTCTCGTTTAAAGAGCAAATAATCAAGATTGAAATTTTGCAAATCATTGCTCGTAATTACAATGATTACATAGTTATTCGTAAATAGATGAAATGTGACGATAATTGTGAAAGTTGTCTTGGAAAGTTAAAATGAAAAAAATTAAAAACAAAAAAGACAAAAATTCATATTATCAGTTATTTTCATATATATAATTCATATTTCATATATTTTATATTTTTAAATTATTTTAGACTGAAGTAATTTTGATGATATTGTTAAAAATATAAATTTTTACGTAATGCTCATTATTTCAATATTACATGAAAATTATTTATTGTTCACATGCAATCTTTTAAATATCTCGAAACAAAAGGGATTCGAAAAAAAATTAAAAATTTGTAATAATTATATCTTGAAATGTGTAGCGTATGAAAATGTGTTGAAGTTGCGACAGGAAGAGGGTACTTTTAAAAGACGCCAGTTGTCTCTCGACTCGAGAGATTCTTTCCCCCCTTATTTCWTTCTTTCTTTTTTTTTCTTCTTTCTTTCTTTCTTTCTATCTTAGTAAAGTACGATTCATTCTTTTCTCAACTCATTTTCACCGAGTGCTCTTCAAATTTTGCGTATTCCATAGCATTGGACTTGCTCAGCTTATGCAACAGCGAAAGAGTAGGAAGGGAGGGATTTGGTAAAAAGTAAAAAATTTCTAAAGAAATAAAACGTCTTTGAAAGTTCGAAGAAGTAAAAGAAAGAAAATAATAAAAAGAAGAAGAAGAAGAATGAGAGGAAAAATGGTGAAGTAAAAATAAGATAAAACAGAAACGGAACGGTGCGAAATATCGTTTCGAATTTAAAGTAGCGTAGTAGATTGGTGCAGCTCGTTTCTTTTAATATACCTTTTAATATACCTCAACTCGATGCAAATAAACTTCCTGAAGAGAAAAAGGGGGGATGGGGGAGAGAGAGAGGGGGAGAGGATTTTCATCATGATAACTACCAAACAATAATTTTTATTTCTAATTGGCGTATCACCTAAGACTAATGTGCTTTTACTTTTGTCAAAGTTATTGTACGGTCGGTATCTTACAAAAAGATAAAAAAAAAAAAGAGAAAAAAAAAAAGAGAAAGAAAGAGTTGTGAATACAAAAGGAGAGAAATTTTGAGAAAATCGTCTCTTTTATTCTTCTTTCTTCTTCAGCTCATAAGTAAGAAAGAGGTAACGCTGGCAAATGTTATGGTTGTTCGTGAAATGGACACACGAGTCGAGAGAAAGATGGAAAACATTTTTATCAAAGTGTAAAAGAGAAAGAAAGAAAGAAAGAGAGAGAGAAACTGCATTTCTTACACCAGTTTGTGACGTTTTCGCAAGTTTTAATGACCGTGGGAAGTGGCATCTTAAAAAAAAGGGGTTACTAACGTTTTAATGTTAAACGACGAAATCTTGTTGTTTAGCTTTTTGCTTTTTAAACTGATTTAGGAAATTTTTTTACTTTTTTCTGGTTTTCACGTCAACGTTATCAAGGACGATAAATCTTTTTTTTCTTCGAACGAAAAAGAATTGACTAATGTGAGAGAATATGTTCGTTCTATTAGGTTTTTCAAGTTCTTGCATTTATATTCTAAACAAATAAACGTTTAAGTTGGGATAACACACAATCGAAAGATTGTATTCCTGTATAAATCATCTTATGGTTAGATACTACTATTTTGTATTTATTAAACACATTCTCGTTTATTTTTAAAGAAAATTATATTTCTAGAATGATATAAATCACTAATTAGTAATCAAAATGTTACCCGGAGATTTGATACCATTTTTAGAAAATTAAACAAAAACAACAGTGTAAATAAATTAAGTATATCCATTTTTTGATGTAATTTTAAATAGTTTTTAAAGTTATTTTTAATATAACATAACTTGCACGTACTTCCGATAATATTGGTAATTAAATTAAAAGAAAAAAACATAAGAAAGAGAAAACCATCGAATATTCGTAACGAAGAATAAATTTACTTTACCGTAATAATTTTAACGTAACGATAATAAAAATAAGAAGATAATAGAAAGGGTATAATAATTAATTGGTAAGTGGTGTATTATAAAGCATGGATTTAATGCATAAACCTACGTCGTATACTTTCGCATTCATATCTACTTTCTCATCGAATTTTATCTTTATTATGTGCTACATACTTTTGCGTTTGATATTTTTTTTTTCGAATACGAAAAAATGTAGAAGGACATATATATATACGCCATTAACAATTAAACCGTTAATCCTCTTTTTTAGAGTATATTTCATTGGTGTACTAGTTTGCGGAAAACAATGGTACAAATTTTTCACGATGATGACAACGATGAAAAAAAAGAAAAGAAAAAAAGGAAGGAACGTTTTAAATCTTGTCTTTTAAAATCTCAACGATCTCTTCTTCATATTCTTCATCATCTTTATCTTCTTCTTTGTTTTTCCTTTTTTCCTTTTCCTCTTCCACCTATCCTTACAACTCGTCATTTTCCTTATCCTTCTGCTATTCTTCTTTTACTTTCCGGCAAATAATAGACGTTGCAAGATGTAACGATAATACAGTAAATACAGTTGGAGGAAATTCTCGAGCTCTCTCTCTTATCATCTCATCGTGGTCCAAAGAAATAAATATAGCAAAGAGGAATGATTAAAAAGGAATAGTGTTCAGAAACTTGAGTAAATACTTCGACCTAACTCCATCTATTGTATTTTTCATCCTTTTCTTTCCCCTTCACCCCTCTTTCTCTGATTCTTTTTTTTCCATTTCTTCTTTTTTATGAGGTACAAAAAATAGAATGCAATCTCGTTCTTCCTTTTTTTCCCACATTAATAAATTTAACACCTTGTGTTGTAAAAATGTGTCAAACACGTCGAGATAATTTTTTTTTTTAAATTAGTGGAGTTTATTAGGAGTATATGTCATCTTTAACACTATAAGTATTAAGATTTATGTACACCTATTTCTACTATGGCAAATTATATGTTTCTTTTTTTAAAAGTCATACATTTTACGATATATGTGTAGCAAAAAATGTATCAATTATGCAATAAAAATTTTTAATTAGCTAAATAGCACTATGACTTGTACAAAATTTTGCCTAAAATTGTACAACAGGTTATAGTATATTTAATACTAATTGTGCCATATTTTATGACATATACATATTTATACACAATTGCAAAAGATCGTCGAAGAACGTTTTATTTTCAATAGAAAATATATTAAATATTAGGAAAAGTAACAAATACTTCTTTTCAAAATTTTCATTAACCCTCATCAGGTCGTCAGGTTTTTATATTAATGATTCTCACTAATTGTAAGTTGTAAGTGTGGCTTCGATAAATATGCAACAAAATTGCTCAATATTATAAGAATCATTTATTATTTATTAGAAATGATTTTTTTCTTTTTGAAGGAGTACTATAAATATATGAAATTATTAATTATTTAATTATCAATAACATATTTTTATTTGTAAGTCACTTCTCATGTGAGTTACGACCGATAACAATGATGTAACAAATTATGTTCCGTACATATTGAGTTGTTCAGAAAGTATAATAATTTCGTTTTTCTTTTGCAAAAATGAAGACAATTTTCGCTTTGAAGTTAAACCTAAGTCTTTCGATTGGACAAAAACAGTTGAATTTGATAAATTTAACCTCTCATTAATTTCGCGTTTTGTTATTTGTCAGTTTGTATCATCTAATGCTTTTATTGTGTCAGGAAAAAACAAAATTACTTTCCGAACAATCCAATATTTTAATTCATTGACATTGCTAGAGATAATATGGCAAAGAGGAATGATTACGAATGAATCTTGCTCAGGATATAATGTAAGTAAATACTTCCACCTAACTTCAACCAATGGATTCTTCATCCTACCCCTTTCCTCCTTCTTCTTCTTCTTCTTTTTCTTCTTCTTCCTTTCAAGACACGAAAAGCCAGGAACCGATCTTGTTCCTTCCCTTTTCACATTAATGAACTTAACGAGTGACTTTAAGAAGCTTCATGAGTATTTTTCTCTCTCTCTCTCTCTCTCCCACTTTCTTTTTCAACTGTAAACGCAAAGCTTTACGAACATTCCTCTTCGTAGATACAACAACCAACCAACCAACCAACCAACCAACCAACCAACCAACCAACCAACCAACCAACCAACCAACCAACCAACCAACCAACCAACC